CAATTTTCTCTGTGTAAAATTGTCACTAATTTTTAGGTAGCCACCATTATCTTACCCTGTTTTTTTTTGCAGCTACATAAAATTATGGCACAATTTTATTTACAAAGATACCAAAATTTACATATACCCATTTTAGGAACGCTACAATTTTTGCAGTAACAATTTTATCTTCTGTGTAGATAAAATTGTCACAATTTTTACCCATAAAAAAACCGGGTGCGAGATAAATGGCACGCCACATCCAGTCGGGAAAGTGGCTCGTCGTCTAATGAACCGTCGTCCTGCTCTGTTTTACGTATTTATTTCTACAGCCGAAGAAGCAAACAAGTGGACACGGGACAAATGACTAACGGGGGACAAATTGCATGAGAGGGGTGAACAAATACCCGCATAAACACGCATATCGGTACGTTATGCACTTGCGGGTAGTCTATACTACCCGCAAATACACAATTATTCATGTAGGGCCGGCCCGTTGCCAGAGAGAGCGAGGCACATCACACCAAAAATGACCACCACCACCACCACGAGCTTTCTCTCCTTATCATATCTCCGAATTGTCCACTGACTGACGGACACGGAGACAAGATACCTGTGTCCAGAAATAGAAAATACGGGCGTTACCACCATTACCACCACCGCGAATACGGTTGACGGTTACTTTTACTAGGACAGAATTACTAGGTACATAAATGCACGGTTGAAGGAGTCTTGGACGTGTCATGATTGATTAGCTAATTTGCATAATATGCTAATTATTTACATAACGCCCTTGGGAACCACGTCCCCCTTAAAATTCGAAATCACCGTCGACCACCATGTCGCAAACGTGAGTCGCAAGCGTGGCGTCAGTGGTTACGTTAAAATGGACCACCCAACGGTCCAGCATGCACGCCTCAGTCAAGGTTTGAATCTTGGAAGTGTCCATGAGTCATGATTGATCAGCTAAGTAGTAATTTGCATAATATGCTAATTATCTGCATAACCCCCTTGGCAACCACACCTACTCAAAATTCGACACCCCTGTTCCTCCAAACGCAAATCTTAATCGTCCGCGATTACGGAAACCATGAGTCACCCTGTTAATCCTCCACCTCCCCCTAAGGGAAATAATGCCCCTGAAATTACTCTCACTACCGCGATTGATGACGATAATCCAGTCTCAACGTCCGGTATTGTCATCGTCAAGCCAAGCAGTCTTCCAGATATTCATATCACTGGTAAATAAATAAACCCTTACAAACGAATATAAAAAAGTAGCGTCAGAACGATCGAAATTTTCTTAAAAATTACATCATATCTGACAATTATATATTTTTGACCCCTGACCTCGTCCTCATGGTCATGAGGTCAAAAATATTAACGTCCTTGAAATCGGGGTCAAATTTCCTTTAAAATGACACCCCATATGACAATTAAGTATCTTTTTGACCTGTGACCTCGTCCACAAGGTCATGAGGTCAAAAATATTAACGTCATTGAAATCGCGGTCAAATTTCCTTTAAAATTACACCCCATATGAAAATTAACGTGAATTTAATTTTGGACCACACCCCCTGGCGCTGTGGGGGGTGGTCCGATTGACCCCATTTTCGAACTCGACCGAGAACTAAAAATTAGAAGAATAATGGCGAAAACAGGGTTCGATTATGTTAACTCGTTCTGGAGATATCCTGCTTACGGACGGACGGACGGACAGACGGACAGACGGACGGACAAAACGATCACAATAAGTAGCTGACGCTACTTAATAAAGATCTTGTCAAATTCCCTGATTTTGACCCGTGCGTGACCTTTGACCTTTGTCGTCTTTTTACAGGGAAAGAGACCGACCAGGATCTCGTGGATCGGTTCAATGAGTACTATCGACGCCACAAAAGGCACGCCGTGGCGGTTGGCGATTCACTCAGCTCTACTGCCGTGACACATTCGGGACTTTTGAGAAGTCGGGAATGTCGTCGAGTCACGATGAGAAGGATTCTCATATTTATCTCCCTCTTCCTCTGGGTAGGAACAAATTGATAAATTTCTGAAATTAATTTCTGAATTTTCTATGCAAAAAAAAATATAAAAAAACAAATCGTTCCCCACTAAAAATTATCTTGCACGAAGGACAGAAGGATAGCTTTCTCCATTTTTGCAAAATCAGCTTGTAGTTTGCAAATTCCGTGCAAATTTCAAATATTCAAATGCAATTTTTTAATTTTTCTAAAAAATATAATGCAATTAATTAAATGTACAAAATATCGTTCCCCAAAAAAACTTCAAAATGAATTTTCTCCATTTCTATCAAATTAATAGACAATGTTATCTCCATTATATACGGATTTTATACCGATTCGGTATAACTCCTCCCGGAAAAAGTTCACAAATTTGCGGATTTTGTTTTTTAAAAAGTGCTGTAATTATCTAATTTTTTTTGCAAAATCAGCTCGAAATATGCGCCCTAACGAAGCCTACTTACTAAAATATCCACTCTGATAACCCGTCTCCCTTATCATTTCTTAGGGCATAACCTTGCTCGAGGCGGCCCTCTGGTTTGAACTAATTTACCGTTGGCCCCGTCACTTTGCCGTGAACGACTACGCGAAGGAATTCTACGGCGTGGACATCGACGACCCCGGAATTCACTTCCCCATGCTAGGCATCATCGTCCTACAAAGCTACGTCGTCGGCTCGTGGGGCTATCTTTCTGCGACCAGCGCGCAAGATCGCGTTCTTAAGCGGGTACGTATTTACATACATAAAATTCAAACTCTGGCGACATTTGCATAATTATTATTTTCGCATTTTACGCCAAAACGGTGAGCAAGAAATCTGGTACAGTAACGCAGATATTGATCTTCCTGTATTAAAGTTGCTACGGTTTGGTATTAAAATCGTACGAGTCCTTAAAAATTTGCTACCGATATGGTAAGTTTTACCGTAAAACTTTAATACCGACCTATTACTACACGGTATCAACTTATCAATACGACTTTGATGGAGTCATAGATGTATGATTACCACTTGGTATTATATTACCGGTAATAGATATGTCCTTATCTTAATCTTGATAATTTAGTTCATGCTGACGGCCCCCTGGTTTCTCCCGGTGTCGCTGGCGTGCGGCTTTTCCGCCATCACGTTCGTGGGTGACCTCTCCCAGCAGAAGTTGCAGAGGACGATGCTGCACCATCAAGCGTTTTACCACCACCCCCGGGCCGACAATCTTTCACGGGATGGCTGGGATCTCCTCCAGCTTTATGTATGTAAAATGTAAATAAAAATAGGAGATGAAATTTGGTGAAATTTTTCATGAAAATTTTCACAATTCAGTGTCGATTCCATTTAAATTTTTAAAATGTTAGAGATCAGATAAAAGTTGCATGACGTTTTTTGCAAAGTCAATATATGTATGTCCTAAAATTTGTGGAAATTTTAAATCAAAATTGACACAGAACAGTCAATTCGTTACAATTTTATATAGAATGTTAGAGATCAGATGAAAATTATTCATGACATTTTTAGCATGGAAATGTAGGCACTCCAATTTGGTGAAATTTTACATGAAAATTGAGTCTGTCAATTCCTTCCAATTTTTGAAGTGTTAGATATCAGATTCTTTCATGAAATTTTTCATGAATTTTTTTGCATGGAAATGATTTCTTGCAAATTCCACTTTCTCTCTCTCTCTCTCTAACTATTAAGTTACGCTGCTGTGGCGTTGACTCGCCGGATGAGTGGGTCAATATAAATTACGACGGAGAGGATAAAGTGCCGTGGAGTTGTTGCCAAAATTCGCACGGGAGGCGGCAGGTAAATATGTCTAAGCTATATTTGCGCCAGTGTTATACTTTAACTATGGCGCAAGTTACCAAGAGTATGTATAAACCTACCTATGTATATTTCTTTGCTACTAGTCGAACTTAACCCTCGTCGCGCAATGCACAAGAGACATCGACCTCCACGACGTGTTCAAAGCGGGGTGCAAAGAACGCATCTTTGAGTTCCTCACTTATGCCGGCGCCGGCGTCACGGCGCTCTTCTCCGTCGTCACGTTACTTATCGTAAATGCAAAAAATCGCAATGTGTAAAGTAATTGCACACAAATCTACACATTCTTTCCATCCTCAATTTCCTCTAGATCTTCGCGACAATGGTTTCCCACAAGTTTTACGTTTTGAAAAAGTACGTGAACTTTGACCTTTCCTAGCGTAACCTTGACCTCTGACCTCTCATCTATCTCAGGAAAGCCCGCCTCGGCCATTACCGCTACCCTTTGAAGGAATACCTCATCGATTTCTTCTACCTGCGCAGTTGTTTCACCTGTTTCCGCCGGAGGAAAAAGTTGAAGCGCGCCCAGGCTCGCAGAAAGAACAGCGCAACAGTCGCGACAGGAGGTGCGGTTAGTCTGGGTGGAGGCAGCATTGGGGGCAGCGCCTCGACCCTCGATGAAGACGACTACGCCGCCATGGAGAAGAAAGTCCGCGCCGAGGAGAAAGAAGCGGAAATCTTGCAGGCCAAAGAAGACCAACATTTGGCTGAATTGGAGAGAAAACGGGTCAGCCACGTGTCGCACAGACCAAGTCAACGTTTCAGCATTAGAGAACCGGTTGAAAGGATGTCGATAAGTCAGGATCCTCATCATCATCATCACCACCACGACGATAACGTCAAGAAGAAGACGAAGAAAAAGGAAGATGTCAATCTTTTGTATAAGAATCCAAATACAGGAGGAGGACTTGACATGGCGACGACGACGACGATACGGCCGGCACAGAACCCGGTCGAAGTCAAGAGGAGTGTCCAAATTTTTGAAGGAATTGTCCCCGAGAGCAAAATGCCAGCTCCAGCTCCACCACCGGAAAAAAGTAGTGGCAAGAAGGACAAGGGACACGATAAGGTGTAGATAAGCCATCATCGATAAGGTTAGATTTTTCATCTAGTTAACTACTTGCATATTTCGAGCAGGCAGAATTTTACTTTACTAAAAATAAATAAATAAAATAAGTTTTAAATCCGCAAAAAATTAAAATATAGAATTTATTGAATCAAATTATAAAATAATAGTTGTTAACAAGAGGTGGAAAAGCAGGTTGAAAATTGTTCTAATTTTTTGATAAGCACTTACATAAGTCGTGCAAAATTATACAAATTTACAAGTTTACAAATTTATAAACTACTTATAATTTTGATAAGTACAAATCGTGCAAATGACTCTTTTAAGGAACTTTTTGGCAGCAGTATTTAAAATGGAGTATTATTCTTATCTTATCGAGAGATCGCACCTCATGGAATCACAGCTTGTTCACTTTCTTTCATCACGGCGCTGGCACCACTACTTCCGGTTCCATTGTTTCTCCCATCGTGACGACGGGGAGAGCTTTAATCTTCTCCCATAAATCCGGCATGGCGACGGGGTCCCAGTTCTCGGAGGCGAAGACATCCTTCTCGTCCCAGGAAGTAACTTGATATCCGGATATCTTGGCGTAGTCTTCGTTAAAGAAGAACATCCCACGGAAACTTGTCCCCTAAATAAAGTACAATTCGTAATTTCGCAATTTAAAAAAAATGCAGGGTTTTTGTCAGGATATTTACATACCTTGAAAAAGAGGGGGTACCAGATCCTGTCATCCGGCCACATAAAGTCGTACGGGACATCGGCCTTGTCCCACCATTTGGGGGCCATCTCCTCACTCTCGACCAGTTCACCGGAGAAAGTTTTCGTTCCAAAAACATGAACCTCGTGGACGCGGGGATTGCCCTGATAGAGAAAGTGGATCAGGCCGAACTGCTGGAGATCAGTGGAGCTCACAGTCAACCCACATTCTTCATTCAGCTCCCTATTTACAAAATACGTTAATTAAATTAGATTGATATTCACAAGATTTATGGAACAAACTGACACAAAATTAAACGAGGCATGAAAATTGCAGAGATTTTTGTAAACTATGTATGTAACTTTACAAAGACTGAAATTTGCAATTTCGCAAACTTGCATACAAGTAAACCTTGTCAAGTTTGAGAAATTACATACAAAAAACTGTACCTAGCTTACAAATCTTGCCATACCTTATGATAAAGAGATAGTATCTCTATGGCTTATCTATTTCCTCACCTTGCCGCCGCATCCCTCACATTTTCTCCGGCCTCGACTTTTCCCCCAAATCCGTTCCACCTTCCATGACCGAACCCCCTCTTTTTCATTCCGAGCAGGACTTGATCCCCTTTTTCGACAAAGGCGAGGGTCAATACTTGTCTGAAGGCCATTCCTCCTCCTGCTCCCGCCGTCGCCATGATTTCTCCTCCTTCTCCTAAACCAAGTATGCAATGCATGCTTATCAATCAGTCAAATCTGAAAAGTCAGGCAGATGATGAAATTCAATGAAATGAATGACCTCACCTTATCTCTCCCCCAACTCTTCTTCTCTTGACTACTTGGCTTCTTACTTGGGTGATGGAGAGTAGTTGTTGCAGAGAGAGAGACACCACGGCGTCAACTAATCCGAAAAACCGAGCCGACGTCTAAAATCTAAAAGCGAAAGGAGTGTTTGCCTTTCTTTCTGCTGCTACTGCGGACGGATCGATGGTCGTCTCTCAGCAGCACTTGACTTGCAGGCCTCTTCTGCCGCAGTCCGAAAATACCCGAATTCGGAGAAAGAAAAAGAGCAGGGTACCCACCAGACCACTCTACAACACAACAAAGCAGAGCAGACAGACTACCCGGCAAGCAAAAAACAATGCTCGAATTTTCTCCCGTTTTTTCTCACTCGTTCTTCTCTCTCGCTCGCTCCAAAATCTGATCTCGATTGCCCCGAAGGTTGCCAAACTCAAATGGAAAAAGAGACGAAATTTCGTCGCTCGGTTTTGTTCTCACGTGGGATTCGGATTTAGTTTGGGGTTTGAAATTCGACAAGGTTTTCGACAAGGTTTCGACAAGGTTTTTGGTAAGGTGTTCGACACGGTTTTCGGCAAGGCAAGTATCCAAATTCAAAAGTAAGTTTGACCTTTTAACTCCTCAATTTTATTATCAAAATCAAGTTTAATTTTAATCTTGAATGATGAATTGTTCGTTAAAATTTGAAATTGATTTGATTTCCTGTTTTCCAGAAACTATCCATAATCTGGCGGAACTTGACCTCATCAATCATGGACGCCAACCTCCCCAAAGAAATTCCAGTCGCCCTCGAAATGCCGAACATATCGGAAAAGATGTCGAATCTCACCGCCACCACGTCGACATCAACGTCGTCTAGTGACCCTGAAGCTGCCGCCATGCTCGACTCCGCCGCCGCCGCTGCTGCTGATCACAACGGTCCTATTGTTCTTATCGTTGTCGGGATGGCCGGCTCGGGAAAGACGACGCTCACTCAACGCCTCACGGCAGAATGTATCCAGCGGAAGTCTCCTCCCTACATAATCAATTTAGACCCAGCCTGTCATAATCCGCCTTATCCGGTCAACATTGGTGGGTAGTGGATAATTGATAATTGACCTTTATCTTTAAGTATTAATGATAATTAAATATGATAGATATTCGGGACACGGTTAATTATAAGAAGGTCATGCAAGTTTACAACCTCGGACCAAACGGAGCCATCGTCACGTCCCTTAATCTCTTTGCGACAAAGTTTAACCAGGTTGAGCTCATTAGGCTAAAAAATTATCGATATTTGTTTCACTAAATTCATTTTCTTAAATTTTCCTTACTCCATAAATTTCCTAAAAATTCAAAATTGAATTTACGACTTCTTTTTATCCAGGTTTTATCCCTCCTCCTAGAAAAGAAGAAGAAGCATCAATACATAATTATCGACACTCCCGGACAGATCGAAGTCTTCATGTGGTCCGCGTCCGGTAGCATTATCACCGAATCGCTGGCCGCCCTCTTTCCCACTGTGTTAATCTACGTCACCGACCTCATCACCAACAAAAACCCGGTCACATTCATCTCCAATATGACGTACGCATGTTCAATCCTTTACAAGACCAAGCTTCCACTTGTCATCACGCTCAACAAGGTGAAAGAAAATTTGCGAAAAATTTCTCCAATTTCGTGTGTTACTAATTTACCTTTCCACAGCGCGACCAGGTCGACCCCTCCTACGCAACGGCCTGGATAACCGACTTCGAAGCGTTCGAAGATGCTGTAAGAAAGCGGGACGACTACTCGGCAAACCTCGCCTCCTCCCTCGCCCTCAGCATGGAAGAGTTTTACAAAAATATCGACTTCACCATTGTCTCCGCCGCGGATGGATTCGGAATGGACGAATTTTTCAATTCTGTACAAAAAGCTGTCACCGATTATGAAACGTAACCTAAATTTTTAACTAAAAAAATACTATCGCATGGGTCATCATTAATTTTAATCATTAATTTTAATTTTAAACACAACTTTCAGCGTGTATCGCCCCATGTACCAGAAAATGCAGGAAGACCGCATCGCCGCACAAGAAAAGAGGAAAGCGAAACAGATGCAGAAATTGAGGACGGATTTATCTTCGTCAGCACGTAGTACTAGTGACGACGCTGCTGAAGAACCGTCCTGTTTCATTCGTTCTGGACATGACGCCGGGGCAGGATTGTCACTCAGATTGGATGATGAAGATGAAGACACGAGTGACGAGGATGCCGAGAAGGAAGATAATTTAGGGCTTCTTAAGAGTAATTGATTAATTATCAATTAAAGATTAACCAGGTTGTTACTAATTTTTTTTGCTGCACAGGAGATGCAGACCAGGATGAGGAAACATTTGGCGAAACTTTTACGCGACATGTGGAGAGTAAAAAGGACGCAGCATTGACAAAAGATCCCACTATGGGGAAGAAGTAAATGAGAACGACGGTAATAAATCCTGAAGAAACTCGATTTAATTTTTGTATACAGAATAATTAAAATTAATTAAATACATATTTTGTAAAATTACTTGATAAAAACGTTTATAAAAGAATTACTTTATATATAAAAAACGTTTATCCTTGATTAATGTGGCGCTGAATGGCTATTAATTCCTTGCGAAGAAGTCGGCATCGTTGGCCCGGTCACATTTGGGTTCTGCTGAGGGTGACCTTGACCTTGTTGACCTGCCGCAGCTGCGGCGGCGGCCGCTGCTGCTGCCATTCTTTGCCTCTGTAAAAAGAAAAATGTTCTTATCGTACTTATTTCTTGTTGGCGACCTTATCTTAATATTTTCTTACCGCAGCCAATCCAGCCGCAACGAACATGTGATTCCTCCCCCTCTCCAACTCGATGACCTTCGATCTCATATGTTCACTTCTATGCCAGGCCATTTGTAAAGTCTTCTGCGCCGCGTAACTCGACCCTTCGTGCGCCTGACCGGTCGAAACTTGCGTCAAATAGTTGATATGCTTACCCAAATCTAATTCCACGGTGTTTAACGTTTTGATAAATACGTTCGTGTGTATGTCCACTTGCTTCTGGGAGGGCTTATCTTTACTCATTTCCGTCAAGACTTGTCCTGCACGAGAAGGACAATTTTAAAATTTCAGATTAAAGTTTTGTAAACTAAGTTAGTAATGTTACCTGCACTTTGAAGACAGCTTAGAATATCGTTTTCCACTTTCTCCAGGCCGGCAAGTCTTTCCATCGCCATGATGATGATAACTACTTATCGTAAAAATGGCAAATTTATAAATTACAAATAATTGCAAACTTTACGCTTCTTCTTCTACTTCTGGTTCTGATCAAGTTGCCCACTAAAAGTCAAAACATTGAACAAGTTTTGCCGGCGTGTCTCATTTTCCACGTGAGTCAGTCAAAATTTCTGAAAAATCGTGTCAAAATTTCGAAATTTCTCCCACGATGGATCTCCAGTACAGTCTCGTGTGGGAGGAGGAGAACAGTCTGGTCAGAAAATTGTATCGAAACGTGACAAACACAACCCAACTTAGGAAACTCATCTTCTCCGCAAAATTGCCATTTACTCTGTTGAATCCAAAACTGGTAAGTAAATAAATATCTTATCTTTTACTCCTTATCATCACATTGATTATCTCAGATCGTCGACCAATTCCAAGTCTCCGTCGCCGTGACCAAGGCTCTCTTCAACGTGAAAGAAGCCACAATGACGACGCGATCCTTCCCCACGGAAATCCTTTATTCTCTCAGCCCCTCAAAAAACGTAAGTTTTCCGCAAAACTACAGTTTTTCTTGAAATAACTAACCAATTAAATATCCCTCAGATTTCCGAATCGCTCAACCTCTTCAGCGCGCAAGACGGCGACACGGACATTCTCATCATTGGAGAAAAAGCGCTCTGGGCCAAAGTCGGGGAACAAATTCTGGGCGAAGAAGTCAATCTGGACCAACTCTCGACCTTCACAGATATTCCCCTGGTCAAAAAAGTGTATCAAGTCGGGGAGGAGGAACTCGCTTCGTCAAGTCTCCTCGATGCGGTCGTTACTCGAATGGCGTGCAAAGAATGGACGTCCAGCGCCGTCACGATGTCGTCAAAGCCAAACGCCAACAACAACAATAAGTCGACCCCTTCTTAACGTTCACTACTCGCCAATTTTTTTTTTACCATGCAACTTTTTTTCTCAAAATAAATCAAACCATCAATCCTTCAATTTTGTATGCTGCTGCTTTAGTAAAGACCTCGACCTTTGACTTGACCACCATAATTAATTACCTCTCCAGGCTGGTCAAAGATCTCGGCATTTTTATTTTATTTCTGATCAAGTTTTTTCACATTCAAATTCACAAAGTAGGTTTTACACATACTTTTTTTTAAATTTTACAACATTTATCACTTACTTCTTAGTTTTTCATTAGTACACAGAGGACACGCAATATGTATGTATATAAGTAAGTAATAACAATTTATTTATTTTAACGAGATGATTTTTCATGATGACATTTCACATGACATGACCTTTGACATGTCATTCTCCTTCGTTTACTTCATCTTTTTTCTTCTTCTTTCTTCTAGCTAAGAAACATCAATTCAACGACAACAATTATTCAATGACGACGAGGACGACGGTCCCCGTAGAGAGAGAGAGAGACACAGGATTTGCGGGTGGCAAGGGAATACGACGACAACGAATAATAGTCGCGCGCACCGTCGTCATCAATTTGACTGACAATTTAAGCGACTCACAACGACAACGGTGGGTGGGGATGATGTAAATGAGGGGTTACGTACGTTTACACTTTTTTTTCTTCTTCTTCTCACCAAGACGAACATTGACGAAAACATTTTTTAGACGAAGACACGACTCAGCGAGAACTTCTTGTACTTTGGCGAAGGTTTTGGTGACCAAAAAAATTAAATATTAGGCGGAGATGAAGATGAAGACGAAGAAAAACTAAATTAATGTTAAAAAGTACTCCGTGTCCAAATTATTAATTAATAATTAATTAATTATCTACTACTTTTTTGACTAAAGTAAACTTTCTAAACTAACTCGAACGAAGACATAAAGTTTTTTTTAAGTACGTTTCAGTTTCATAGTTATTTTCTTTCTCAAAATAATTAATTTAGTCAGTTTTCGGTTTCGTTTCGTTAAGTACATAAACAAAATGCGATTGGATTTTAACTCGAAGTTTACGAATTTTAATATAAATCCGTGTTTAAATTTTCCTTTAAAAAGTTCAACAAAAATAATTACAAATATGTACGATTAGAATAAGAAGACGGTCAAATTATCAAGGTCAAGAGGTCACCGCTAACCACCACCAAGTAAAGTACGGCATATTATGAAACAGTTCAGTTTAGTAGATAACCGATGATTGATGACGAAGAGAAGTTATCTTTGATGAGATCCTGTTTCACACTTGATTTATGACTCGATGAGTGGCGAGAAGGTGAGATTCTCCCTTCCTCCACTGCCCGGGGGAGATTGTCCCCCATCCGCCACACCCATCAACGTCTTTAGTCTCGTCTGCTGAGGTTGTTGCTGCTGTTGATGACAGTATTGTTGCTGTTGTTGTTGTTGTTGCTGTTCTTGTTGCTGCTGTTGGAGTTGAAGTTGCGAAATGCAGGACAGATTTTGCTGTTGTTGCCGCATCACGTTGACGTGTTGATTGTGATGGTTGTGGTTTAAATGGTTGTGATTAGCGTTTTGTTGATGTTGCTGCTGCTGTTGGGCGTGATGCGAGGTGTAATCCGATACGGCGAGGAGTTCGACGTACTTGGACCGGATTTCTTCCAAGTCTTCCTCCTTCACTTTTAGCAAAGTGTCCCTGCAAAACAAATTCATATAATTTCAGTAAAAATTTGGCAAGGATTATACTTCTATCATCGTATTTACCTTATCGAGAGCTGTCTTCTCGCTTCGCCCAGGGCGGAAAAGAGATCCAATTTCAGTCGCGTTTCAGCCCCCAGACTCGACTCGAGGTGAGCGTTCTGATCTTGCAGTGCGGACAGGAGAGAGAGTAGCTTGGCCGTCTCGGCAGAAGACTGAAAAAAATCATATCATTATCCTATCTAATTTTCACCTTATTTTTTTTAATTTGATAAGCACCTCCTTATTTTTCTGTTCCAACATCAACGTTGACTTGACATTTTGAAGCTCACGTTCCAAGCGGATCGTTTTATCTTCAGAGATTTTCAAGTCCCTTCGCAACCCGTCCTTCTCCCTATCAGCGTCGCGCAGTTTCCGTTTGCAATCACCGGAACATTCAAGCGATGCCTAACAAGAATGTTAGTTTAGTTAATTGGTCGATCTATTAATTAATATTTACCAACCTTGGTCTGCTTCTTGATTGCGCTGTCCTTCTGACGACGCTCTTCCAGCAACTTTTTCTCATAACTTTGCCTCTCCTCCTGACTCTTTGACTGTAAAGCTGCGTACCAAAAATAACAATTTATTTTTCTAATTAGCATTTCTCCCCTCATTTATATCAATTAAACATTAATATCTGCTAACCTGAGTATTTTAGTTGAAGGGCTTCGTGTTCTCCCTGCATAAACAAACAAACCGGACGTTAATTTACGTATGTCCAATTAATTTACATCAGTATTCACCTGAAGGAGTGCCACGTCCCCCCTGAGATTCCTTTCCGACGTTTGCACCGCACTGATCTGCCCCCTCAAGTCGGATTCAACGGAACGAACACTGTGCAGATCGCTTCTCAGCCTTCGAACTTCAGACTCCAGCCTAAGCACGAAAAAATAACAAAATTATGTATCTCTTTTTCAGTCACAAATTCAGAAAATGAATAAATTATCAACTGCAATCGTACAAAATTAGTTTAATAACTAATTAGTTAATTAATTTGCTCCACTCACTTAATACAACACTCCTCCTTCTTCTTCTTTGGCGCTAACAACGCCGCCGCACAGGTCGGACACGGGCTCGCGTACTGAGAAGACGAAGACGCCATGTGATGACTGCTGTTGCTGAGTGGAGACGCTGCCGATGAATTATTTGCCGCTGTTGCTGCACTACTCTGCGAGCTGGCTGCTCCAGAAGACGACGACAAATTCGAATTAGAAGAAGCGTTGTTGTTATTCACATGGTTGTGGTGATTGTTGTGATGATGAGAATGAGAAGACTGCTGCTGCTCCCGTGGCGAAGACGACGACGCCATAGCGGCCGCCACGCCGTTGCTGTTGACATGTTTCGTCGTCGTCGTTGTTCCCCCGTTGAGGAGAGACGTTGACGAGGAGGATGGCGACGGTGATGGCGATGCGTTATGGTGGTGATGGTGGTTATGATCCATGAGAGATAATGGCGATAAAATGTCCCCATTTTCAAATGATTTCCGCCTTGCCGTGGTCGGGGAGACTTTTCCCTTCACTAATACTGCCGACCCGTTCACCACGTTCTCATTGTTGTTGACGATGGCGGGTGACGACGTCGTCATTATGGTGAGAGGAGGTGGCGGTGATGGCGACGGAAGCTGCAAAGGTGGCGCCAGGTTCGGAAGAGCGTCCCATAGGATGGAAAATAGCATGTCGTTCTGTCGCCCGACATCATTTCGGGTGCGCTGTTTTAACTTTGTGCCGAGAAAAGACTTCACCGCGAAGCCGAGTGAGACCAAGGGGAAGCCCACGCTGAAGAAAAGGAAGTTAAAATTTTAATGATGATAATTAAATCTTATTATTAAATTAGTAGGTTTCCTCACCAGTGGGCGGCAAGAGGACTAATTGGTTGTGTAGGGAGCGGTCTTATGCTCTTCCCGTCCAGATAAATGAGCGTGGGGATGAGGAGGAAGGGGCCCAGAGGTGTTAAACTCCACCCCACTTGACCCCACACTGCCAACGACCCCAGCAAAAAGAGCCACGCCGGCGGAATAGCGCCCAAACATATGACATCCACCGAAACCACGATGCACACGAGGAGGAGAGCGAATGCCTAATTAAATTAATTAATTACTTTCACATTTAATTAATCAACTAATCACTCACCACTCCTTGAAACTTGTACGCCTCGTACGCATTGTGGACCAGAAGATAAATAGGGTAAAGATATTCCAAGCGGAACTCGAGGAGGAAGTCACCCCCCATCACGGCAACCCAGAGAAGGACCAACTTTACGTAAACAACCAACCTAAACCACCAAATTTCCATATTAATTAGTTCCCCTTAATTAATTACCATCATCAATTAACTCTCAATTTTCTTTCACTCACCCCGTGTAAAAACCGTCATACAATTTAGGAATCTTTTTAACAGGTCGGCGCGTCTTGGTCGCGTCAACATTCCGTCGCTTCATCCCGAACACGGGCGAAAATTTTCGCTCATTGACAATCACCTTTCACACCACACTTCCGGTTTTACGACTTCAAAAATATACACTTTCAAAAAAAGACGATTCTTAAATATTTCTCTTAAAAATAATTAGAGTTCTTCTCTCCCTCTTCTTCAACCAATAAATATTGCACCGAGATAAAAAAAACGTATAATATCACAACAATAATTAATTAACTTTTCGATAACCACCAATCCACGTTTTTCAATTAATTGTCAAAGTTAAAAGAACAACAAACAAGAAATAAATTCTTCGCAATTAAATATAATTAATTACTTTGACCAAGTCAAGAAGAACCAGGTTCGTGTCGATTTCGTCGACGTGTCCGAGTGGCGAAAAATAATTGTCCCACTGTTCGGAACAGGAAAAGAACATTATTTCATTATTGCAATCCTTCGCTTCGTGGTGGTGATGTCGACGACGACGGAAATATGGTGTTGCTAGATCTCGTATCGTATGGTTTTTGGTTGGTGGAGACAAAATCGATCGATGATTCTTGGGCTGCTGCTGCTACTGAGAAGGGGACGGACATAAATGATGGGGATAAAGTTGGGCACGATCTTGATATATTTTTAGGATAAAGTTAAATTATGTAAGTTTTTATGTACTCTTTAACAAATAATTAATTGTTCATCTGAACCTATTTAGAACGTATTTAAAACTTATGAGTTTATAATCTCAGCAAAATAAAAATTTCGCTTAAGTTTTTATGCAGTGAAATTTTCAGTTCTAAAATAGGGAAGTAAAGTAGGAAACGTGTAAATTGAGAATTTATGCTGGCCTTCATCTACTCTGTTATTACGCTTAAAAAATGTGAGAAATTTTAAAATTTTAAAAATTTTACAAGCTGAGCAGAAAGCTTTACTCGTAAATTCAGAATCTATGATGCAACTTCTACTCATTTATTATGCTTATCCTTAAAGTGCATTACAAAATTGACAAATTTTCCAAATTTTTGAAATCTTCCTAGAATTTTTTTGACCAAATCACACGTCTCCCTGCTTTTATAAACTGCGGCTTTTAAAAGGATATAATATACATTCATCACCACGCTTAAACGATGTTCGTATCGATAAGTGAGGTTATCTGACGGAGGATATGAGGGTGTTTTTTCCTATCGTAATTTTTGTACAGTCCTTTCGTGTGCAGTTGAGACGAGAGAGACCCGACAAATCGAAGCGGCAAGAGTGGTGGTATTCTCAACAGAATAATAACAAAGACAACTACACGAGGAATTGTGGTATGTTTTTTTGGATAAGAAGAGCTCGATAAGGGGTAGAAATTTGACTTATCGAGTGGTTAAGTCAGGACAAGCCAGTTCGTCAGGTCACGGGACGATTGTGCGGTCGTGCCAAGTAAAAGAATTGTAAACCTGACCTGTTGCTGACTGATTGATTGAGCCGGTCGAGTGTCGAGAAGACTGACAGTCCTTGCCTGGTTTTAGATAAGTGGAAGGTCGATAAGGATAAGACTTGACAAGCGGATAACTCGGAGGTACCGACTTTTTGTGGTGTGGGTCAGATTTCGCAAAATATTTTGCATGAAATGATTGATTGCTAAATATTTTACTGTTTAGATCTGACCAAAGAAAAAATGGTTTCTGGAAACTATGCCATTGACGGAATGCCACTTCCGGTCCGTGTCTTCCACCGTGAAGTCGGTCGGGCGAGAAAGCAGGTCCCCGCGATGAGGGGAGGAGGTCCAGTCGTGTCATTTTTCGGTGAGTAGTTCTAAACGTTCTAAATTATTCCTCTTGATAACCAACTTATCTTCTTTTTTCAGACGTCATGCAGAATTCAATGTCCTCACTTTCCTACACGTCCGACCAGACTCAACTCGTCCAACCAGATTCGACTCCCACTGGCCAAATCCCGATTTACTGTCTCGCCAAGTATGGCCCCACCTCGACCTGCCTGCTCATCGGGGATGAAGCTGGTGACCTTCATCTCATCAAAAATTGGTTCAATCTAACGCCACCGAGTATAAATTATGTCGACTACACGCCAACGTCGCTGCATATCGCGCAGAACTCTGGCGTCACGACGATACGATGCGTAAGGGACAAGATCTTGGTAGGAACGGGGTCCGGCCACATGGGCGTTTTGGCCATTTCCAATGATTCAGAGTTCGTCGTCCTTAACAAATTTCAAGCTCATTTCAAAGCCGTCAAAAAAGTGGATTCGTTTTATGGAGGTAATTGACTGGTTATCGATTTTTGAACGGGCTTAATTTTAATTGATTTCTATTAATAATTTTAATTGTTTTTTTTCAGACGTTATCGTCTCGTGCAGCAAGGATAACAAAATTTGCGTTTACGACATTCGCATGAAGACTGGAAATCCGGTCAACATTGTTCATGAGGTGCACTCAGTTCCAACTCAATCATCCACCGAGGGAACAAGTCCGTCTTCTGCGGGTGCTCGTGGGAGGGGACGGCCTTCGAACAGGGCGATCAAACAGAAGGAAACCACGTCCAGCTCAGTCTCAGATTTCGTCTTTTTGGACGAACACAGAATTATTTCCGCCGGAACGTCGGACGGGTAACGAAATATTCAAAGCTTTTTTTAAAAAATTCTGGATTTTCAATTTGTAAACATTTTTTTAAAACGATTTTCAGTCGCTTGAAAGAGTGGGATCTCCGCCTGAGTTACAAACAGTTCAAGAAATGTCACCCCGTCCAAATCATTGAGTATCCTAGTCTCTCCAATGTCCGTGGGTATAGCTGCCTTCATCTCGCCGGCTCCAAACTCTACGCATCCTCCGCCCACTTTGACATCTTCAAGTTTGACATCCCCAGAATGGAGTGTGGTACGTGACATGAAGGCAGAATTGTCCATTAATTATCAAATTTTAATTAATTAACTATTTATTTTCAGACATGACGTTTACTTCGCCCACAAAAATCTCAAACTATACCAAGATCGATGTCAGTCATGACGGAAACTTTTTAGCCTGCGGATCAGACGAACCTCTCGTTCACCTTTTTTCCACCCGTCCTCAAAAACAAGAAGGGGAAATTTTGCCATTTAAATCGCTAAATCACGCTGCCATCTTCTCCGGCACGCTTTCCGGCGTATGCTGTCCGCTCTTTAGTCCATTTGATGATTACTCGGTAATATGTGTTACTTAATTAAAATTAATTAATTAATTCTGAAACAAATTAACTGCCTAATTGTCTCATTTTCATAAGTAATGGCAATTCGTTCAGTATTTGTTTCATTATAATTTTTTTTCGTCTTCTAGTTGACCACTGGTGGTGACGCCTGCATCGTGACGAAATGGACCCCCACAATCTATGTCCAATCATCCCGCGAGCTTGAGAAGGAGGCCCGCAAGCAAGAATTAGAACAAGAAAGTGACCAACGTCGAGCCCCCATCAAGACAGAATTCCTTCCCATAACTCGACCTCTTGTTCCCATCGCCAAAAATATCGACAAGGAAAACTCCACTCTACCACCACCACCACTTCCTCCTTCTCCCGTCAAACGTGAACGCGTCTGTTTCGCCAAACTCGACTCCTTTCCAAACTATGTCGTCGATGGGATGCGTCTCCCACACGTTTGCCCTCCCAAGCTCAGAATCAAGTTGAAACCAAGGGGTGACACTGCTCTCACCAAGTGGACTTTGACTCCCATCGCGCCACTCAAGGTCTCCACCGATAACGATGCTACAACCCCGCTGCCCCAAGAAACAAAGGCGACAGACACGGTCGCGTCGCAACTAAAACTGCAAACTGCCAAGGATAAGACGCCCACGCGAAGTAGTACCACTAACAAATCTTCAGCTTCACGAAAACGCAAAAAGTTCTGTGATGAGACGCTCTCACCGAAAATCATCACGTTCTTTTCACCCATCGCAAAATCACAGGAAGCCTCGTCGACAACCTCACCAACAACTTCCACGTTGGAGAGAGTACAAAATGACACGCTGACCTCACCGGTCACCTCGCGTAAAATTCAAAAGACTGACGACGACAATAATGATGTCGGAAAATCATCGTCATCAGAATAATAATTTCCGAGCTTAGTTAATTCAGCTTTACTTAAATACTCGTCATAGAATGGCATCCTTGTTTTTTCGTCGCTTAAAAAAATCTCACATTTTCATGTTTCCTTTCTCTTTAATTGCTTGATTTTTGAACTGCTCTTAATTGTGAACAGTTATTTATTACTAATTTAATACCTTTTGAATGCGACAAGCCTGTAATTTGTATAGTTTGTTTTGAGTTGTGACGTCGTAACCTGAATGATAACTAAGATGCTTATTATCTAAACAAATACCTGTTATTTATGTACAATTTCATTTAATTTCAGATTAAATACAAATCTATGGTTGAAAATTTTTCTAATGTCCCCTCAGAAATTTTCATTAACAATATGTATCCATAATTTCAGCTTGATAAATATCATTATTTCGAAATTTTGGTGCGGATTACTTCACCCACCTAAATAACCCCCCACTGGTCAACTACAGATGTTGCCCAATTTCGAACTCATTCAAGCCCTTGTTGAGATACGTCTTTTAACACCAAGTTGGTCAAAACTTGGTTCAGTGGTTCGTCCAATGACAGACACACACAGACATACGGGTTCCATAAGCCCTGACTCGGGCTAAAATAAAACGTGTGTATCATTCATTGTACAATTACAATTATTTATTCATCTCATCAGTCATAATAATTTCCCACATTACATATACAAAGTTATAGTCAATATTTGCAAATATATGTAGCTTTTCCTAAAATAAATATCTTGCACTAATTTACTTATTAGACACGTATCACATTATTTCAGAATAACAGGAACAAAGACTCCTAATTAATTTTCGGTCATACACAAAAATACATTTCACATTCATCCCCACTTTTAGATTTGAACACGGTCAAAATCTGCGTCACTCATTTGCGAACTTTGTACGACTTTGTAAACTAGCTAATTCCCTAAAATTTACAAAGATTGACATGCTTTTCGTCCACTCAAATCCCGAACGACCTTACATGACTAAAACCTCCATTTCCACCGGTCCCCCCATTTCTGGTTCCCTCTTCGTCATCATCCTCCAACTCAACCACCGTTTTTAACGCATCTTCCTCAAACATTTCAAAGATGACAGTGGTCCCATCATTAAAGGAGAACGACAACCCTCCATCAATCACCATGCAGGCATCGAAGCACCTCGACTTGACCTCCATCCTCTGGGCGAACGATCTCGGCTGAATTTCAGATGCACACGGCAGCGTTGAATGTGACACGGGGTCACGAATTGTGTACAGCATCTTGCCCGATTCTGGAGGAAAGGTTAACGCTTGGTTGTACGCGTGTGTTATCTTGTCAACCATGCCTTCATTGGAGAGGGACGTTTGCATGGAGGCGATCTGACCTAACACGGGATTTGCCTGCATCGCCGCGAGGTCACCTTTTAATTCGTGATCGACCAAATTTAACACTTCTTGCACCGTTTGGCGAGAGATTTTTGAAATATTGTGACTCCACGAGGTCGACCCGGTCCCAGTCGCGATGCAGATGCCGGCATTCTTTGTTTTTATCCTCTCTCCGTGTGGTGTCGTGTCGGTGGAGACTTCAAAATAGGAAACGCGAGCGGAGACGCATTCGCCTAAAGAGAAAAAAATATAAAAGTTAGTAATATATTTCTGCCCCTTTTTTATAAAACATGTGGAGATTTTTGGAATCATCGTAATTTTACGGAGTTTATACAGCGAATAATTTTAATCTGTGAGCGTACCGAGGTAAACCTCGTTGAGTGCAAGGACGGGGAGGGTACGAGTTTTTAGTTTGGAGTTTTTGAACTGTTCGTCCCCCACGGTGAGCGGGGTGGTAGGAACGGCTTCTTGGAGGCATTCGAAAAAGCGGTACTCGGGTTGTGATAGCTGCTGATCGTGCAATTCAACGGGAGAGTCGTACACAGATTCGCCTAAAGAGATAATTAAAACGTCAAAATTTGCACAACTTGCCAAAAAATATCATTTCTCTTACCAATCATCGTGATCCTCATCCTCTTTCTTAGCGTCCATTTGAACTTGTTTTGAAATAGTTTATTCACCGCGTCCTGCACGTTTATGGAGTACTTTTTGGCGAGACAGAGATAACCGATGGATCGTGTGGGGTCCGTATTAAAGCCAACAATGGGCTTTTGTCGATCCTGAATTCGACACGCGGCCATCAAAAATGTTCCGTCTCCTCCCGTCGTCACGATTAGATCGGCCCAGTCTATGTTCTCCTGGGTATAGTTGAACCTACGACGGCAAGAAATTTAATTACATCAATTTTGCACACTTTGCAAACGCAATTTACGCCACGTATCAACGCCAAAGTTTGTAATCTGTGTGTAAATTTTTACAAAATTTGCTATCGACCTCGTGCTAAATTTAACAAAATTGCACACAAAACTTAACAGATTTTCGACAAATCTTCTAAAATTTTCCGTAAAATTTACACACTAAACGTTGATTTTATTTACCTGCTGACCAGTCTTGTCTGCACGCCAAAGTCTTGGAACGCTTTGACGACACGGAATTCACACCCTTTGTGGATATAGTGATGATAAAGGAGCGTGTTGTAGTCAGAACCTCGCTTTTTCAAGAGTTGTTCCAACTCATGCTCGTTGGCGAGGTCGGGATGTCGCAGTTTTTCAAACTCGTAGCGACTCAGCTTTGTCAAAATGAGGACGCGCTTCGGGTTAAAATTGATCTCCGTGGAGGCATCGCGTGGGGATGGCGGCGGCGGCGTCGTCGTCGTAGAATAAAAACGTGTCGGCATTCGGAACCTCGTCGCACGACAGTTCGACAGCGCCGAAACAAGCGTTGAGACGAATTGAAGTCGCATATTTTTTGAGCACTTTTGAATACTTTCCAAAGATTTTAACACGAATTTAGAGTCGCTTAGAATCTGGAAAAAAAGTTTAAGTGTGAAAATTTTTGAACTTCGCGATAAAATTTGCATTATTGAGTGAGCTACCTTTCTTCGTCTTTTTTCCTAACTTATCAACCTTCTTATCCTTAGTTTTGCTGGACAAAAGGAACACAGCGAGGCTCGTTCTCCTTTGCGTTAACATCATTTTCCAAAGTATATTTTTTCCAAAGTTAAACAGGGAAACGGTACCAAAAATATCCCCCACTTGAAAATATACACCTTCTTAGGATTAGCTCTCCTATTTAATCAATAATTAAGAAAAAATAATTAATTTCTTTTAAAAAAATCCGATCCAGTCCTGTCCTGCAGATGATTGAATTGTGAATGAAAATTTACATTCATTAAATTAAATGTCAACTTCTTGTCAAGAAATTGCAACATAACCAACAAATTGCTCACCAATGATTACTTAAATATCATCATATTTCATTCCTTGATTAATGGCTGGATGGAATTCTGGACTCTCTGATGTGGTAATTAATTTACTCTCTGGTCCAGCGAGCGAGGGGTGACCTCTGACCCTGCACCCGTCCGTCCACCCCAAGAATTAAGAAAAAGACGTAATCCTTCCTTAATTTACATGTTGATTAGTTAATCGCTCGATTATCTAGAGAGTCACTTCCTTCACATCTTCCAGAAACAAAATGAAAAAATTAAAATCAAATACTTCAATTAACAAATAAATCGTTTTTAAAACTATTTAATTAAACTTACAAATTAATTATATCCGTAATTGTTTTTTTAAAAAACTTGATTAATTAGTTAAGTGCCACAAAAGTTTACCAAACATCTAATAAATATTTTTGAAATATAAAATCTGTTCAGATTCACTTGTTGACATCAACCTCGTCTTCAAGTTTGGTTGCAGTCGTCTCATTTTATTTTTTTCTCAAAATGTGCAAGTTTCCATTCCATTTAATGATACATTTTTTCTCATAATCTTCATAATTAAATCGTAATTTAACTTTATCTGTAACTCCTAGTCAGGTAGGTATTATGGACCAATTGTTTCCCAACTTTTTCAGAAATTTCAATTCAAAATTTCTCAGACAGATTGATATACCGGTCTCATTTTTACCTCATTTCTTGGTGGCAAGTGGCAAGCAAATGTCTCACTTTGCAAGCTGATTGATTCACTGGTTGGAAATTTAATTACAAATTATTCAAAGTAATTAATTGACAAGTTGTTCTCGGCAAGTTTTTAATTGTACCCACATGGAACTTCCCGACATATTCTACGACCGACCGGCCTACGTCGAAACGGTAACGGGATCGAATTCAAAAACTTCAATATTTCTTGTTAAAATCTTAATTACTTATTTTCAGGCCTCTGGGAACAAAGTCAGTCGAAACACGGTGCTTTGTGGGTCACAAAATATTGTCATCAATGGAAAATCAATCGTTCGAGAGGGGGTAATTATTCGTGGAGATTTAGCCAACGTTCGAATCGGGAGACAGTGCGTTATCAATAAGGAAGTCGTTATTCGGCCCCCTTTCAAGAAATTTAGTAAAGGGTGAGTTATATAAGTAAACAACCCCCCAATTAATTATGCAAAATTGGAACTTTTGTAAAAATAAATCGCAGCACAAAATCTGTAAAATTTCGGAAATATTGCCAAAATTTGCTATATAACTTGGTCAAATTTAATGACTAATTTTCTACACAGGGTCGCCTTTTTTCCCTTGCACATTGGCGACAACGCGTACATCGGAGAGGGTTCCATCGTCAATGCTGCCGTCGTTGGGTCGTACACTTACATCGGGAAGAATTGCATTATTGTAAGAAACAAAAAATAATGTCGCCATTCCCGATTTTCTTTCCTGATTAACGACTTTTTTTCTTATCAGGGTCGTCGCTGCGTACTGAAGGACTGCGCCATGATTGCGGATAATACCGTCCTCGCCCCGGAAACGGTGGTCCCTTCGTTTTCCATTTATTCTGGATCGCCCGGCCTGCACACGGGCGACCAGCCCGATTGTACGCAGGATTTAATGATTGAATTCACCAAAAGTTATTATCAACACTTCAACCCCAACAAGTGATATACTAGTCAGTGGGATAATTAATTAAGTAAATAATTAACTAATTTTAGTGGGCGAGGTGCTTCCGGATAATTAAGTATCTACAAATATTTCGCAATTTTGTACACTTTTCTCTAAATCTTCTTGTTCAAAAAGTATGCATAGACTTTTTCAATCTTTTTTTGGGGGAAATTTTGACCAAAATTTACATAAATAATTCTATCATAAAGTTACATTGGTTAGGTAATTAGTTAATTAATTAGAAATAATTAAGATTTTCATCGTACTGCCCAATTTTATTTATTCGTTCTCATTTTGTTTACAATATTTTTCTGTTTGTAAATGATACCAAGTTTGTCGAAAATATACCAATTTTTCCTAATTTTTCTGAAAAATGTGTCCAAATTCATGCATTTAGAAGAAATATTTTTGTATAAACGTGGACCCATCCGCCCCCACGAATTGGGGGGAATAATTGTAAATCAGATATTTATTCTCTTCCTCTACCGTGGCGAATTTGTGCGTGTTTCGTCTCGCTAAAGTGGGGAGAAAAAATAGAATCTTCATTATTAATTAGTCACCTCTTATTAAAAAAATAGCATCTCATTTTATGATTTAGTTTACAAATAACTGATTATATTACATTATGCACTGATCAAAAGCTCATAAAATAATCTGAGTACACTTTTAATTACTCAAATTAAAAATCATTTTTCGGGGTAAACATTTTACACCCAAAATTTTGAATTTCTCTAATCATTTTTAACGCAAACTTCTAAAATCTTGATAAAATTTATGAAAAAATCAAGAATATTCACGCAATATTTTTGATCCACGCATAAAACTATGAACTTTCAGGTTTTTTTGGTGCATTATAATTTTTAATTCAACTCCATGAATTGCTTTGTACTCTAATATTTTTTAACTTTTACGTCTATTCTTGTCAACATTTTTGGAAATTTTTTTATGGGGGGGGAATTTTGATTGTTGTTTAATTTTCATTGTGGAAATTCTACAACGACTCGAGGGAAACCTAATTGTACTTGAATATTGCTGAATATTTGAAAATTAGTTTGCAGGAGTAAACACTTGAAAATTATTCAAATTATTCAAATCATGTTTAACGCAAAAATTTAAGTCTTCCTATTTCAGGAACAGTTGAATCCCAAAATTTTAATTTTAAAGCTCACTTATTTCGCTGCCCTGTTTCGAATTTTATGAATTATAAAATTCTAAAATTTTTGCGAAATTTTACAATTTGTCAAGTTAGTACGCCAGCAAAGCAATTTTCAAATATTGAAAAATTAACAAGCACAATTAGATGGGTTAGCTCTCTCTGGTGGTTATTACAGATTATTGCGAATCGCAATGTAAAAATTAATTACAGGACTGAGATAATTGAAAACTTTGCAACTTTTCAATTTTTGCGGAAACAAATTCCTTCACGTCGAAATTAATCCTTATTGCAAACTTGCGCCTATAATGCAAAAATTTTCAGCTATGGCGCAAGTCTAAAAAGCTTTACCTTGGGCGATGAAAAAATTGGCGAAATATTGTCCCACCGCGATCGCTTTGGCGGAATGGGGCAATTTTTCTTTTGTCGTCCACTCATAAATATTTTTCTCTGGGTGGAACTGCACCGCGTAAAATGGGTAGTGACGATGGGCCACGGTCGAAATGTAGGTCAAATTCGAGGTCGAGTCGTAATTGATGCTTAACGCCGAGTACGACTTGGACAACCCGAACGTCGTAAAGTTCTCGGGCGTGAGGCACAATCGGTGAAAGTTGGCTGTCAGTGGGAGCGACGATAACGAGTTTACGATCGCCTTTGGCGCAGAGGAAAATAGGTTGGAGGTCATCGTTTCTGAGTGGGATACAAAATCAATAGTTTTCAAAATTTGCAAAAATATTGTCGCAAATTTTTTACACAAGCTATCTTAATTTTTTAAAGGCATTTTTGTAAAGAGTTTCTCAAGTTTTGGATTATCTTACATATTGTTGAAAATTTCCTATTTCGTACAATTTTTGTGCAATTAATTACAATAAAAATTTGGAATACAATTTGATTACAATAATTTATGTACATTTTCATTCTTATATGTCAAAAATTGCACAAAATTTCGTACCTTAAAAATCTACACATTTAAAAAATTTACATTAATTTTGGTACATTTTAACTCACGTTTCATATTTCAAAAATTCTACAATTTTTGTCAATTTTACATTTTCATCTGCCTCTACATTCCCTGAAATTTCCCGTTAATTTTTTCAAAACTTATCTCCTCTAATTTCCTCATTAAAAAATGCCCAATTTCATAACATTTTTTGCTCAAGTTGTTTTCTTTCCTAATGTTTTCCAATTTTCAAAATATTTACCTTTCGTAAATTTCAGTTTTTCCACGACATTCCACGCGCCACAGGTCGCTCGTGGGTCGACGCCACCGTCCGCGTCGAGATACATCATCAACTCAAAGCCGAGACAGGTCCCCCAAACGGGAAAATAATCCCCCGCGTCGTTCGCCTCTTTCGCCAACTTGTACAAAAGACGCCCCGTGTCGACATAGCCCCCAGTTCCGTTCGTTGGGGAAAAGTATACCCCACCCCCAGGAAAAAGGACGCTATATTTTGTGCAGAAAAAATTCAAAATTTTTTCACAGTAATATTTTTGCCCCATAATGTGTACCAATTTTTGAAAAAAATACCCATTAATTTTGGAGAAAATATCTCGTACGTAAGACTCATTGCGGTTTACGCTATTTAGAAAAAAAGTTTCAAATTAGATAAGTAATTCAAGCTTTTGCAAAATTGTAATTTTTAAATCAGGGTAAAAATTAATTTGAGCTTTAATATTTTTTTACCAAAATCAAATTTGCAATATGTTGATTTTTTTAAATCATGTCTAAAATATTATTTGAAATTGTATAATAATCTAAAAATCCCTGCGTAGAGTAGCCTCATCTTTAAGAATTTATAAATAATGTGAAAATTCCAAATAATTCTGATTTGTCGTTCACATTTTACATTGTTTTACAAATTTGATTCCGATACATTTTGGAATAAAATAATTTACAATTTAAAAATAGTTATTTAAAATTTAGATTATTTTAAACAGTTGGCAGTAAAATTATTTTTTTTTACAAAATCAAATTTGCAATGTAAGTTCTACGTTGATTTTTTTTAAATCGTGAATTTCACCTTTAGCAATTTCTAAATGATGTGAAAATTCGAAAAAATTCTGATCTGCCGTTCACATTTTACATTTTTTTGCAAGTTTTAGAAAGTAAGTGAATAATTCGGTAAAATGTTCTTCATAAGTTTATTTTTTATCTTACAAACTGTTCCAGATAAAATAGTGCGCTCCATGATAATACTAAAATTTTAAGATTCTAAAATTTTAAAAATTTAACTAAAATTAAAAATGTTAATATATTTTTTTTAATTTTTAAATTTTAATACGAAGCATGTAAACTTATCTTTTTAAATTTAAACATTTGTAAATAGATCATTTTACCGAATTAATAATATCCGTGTGAGTTAATTTCTATAAATTTCTTACAAAATGGGGACCACTTGCGCTCCAGCACCTTCCACAAATTTCACGTACGAAGCCGCAATATACGTCTGATTAGAATTAGAATCTGCCGACAATTCCTGTGCTAGGATTCCTGCGAAACACAATTTCAGAAATGTCAATCTAAAAAGAAATTTCTAACTGAAATTTTTGAAGAGAAATTAAAATAAACATTGAGAAGTAAATATTTAATTTTAATTGCTCAATTTTTACAGTGGCGTTTAAACAATTGTGGAAATATTGTCAAGATTTTTATATGTATATAAAAATCTTTTATATGAAAATATGTAAATATCGAGGAAATACGTATTTAAATAATACGTGAATGTTTATCAAAGTACGTAGAAAGAATGAATTTTTCCCAAAAATTACCTTGTGAGTAGTAATTTACTAGTGTGTGTGCATATATATGTCAAAATTGCTAAAAACAGAAATTTCGACGCCAAATTAGCTTAATTTAAAATTTTAATTTCGCCTTTATAGTTGTAGAGATCGGTTAACCAAAATTTCGACCATTTCAGGAAAAAGCACATCGTAAAAATAACAAGAAGTCCAAATAAAAAGAATTTCGGTATTCATGATTTGTCTCAATTTTTATTAAACTTGATATTTTTGAAGTAAAATTAAAATTGAAATTATTTAAAAGCACACTTTGAGAAGCAGATATAAAAAACAAAATTAAATGCTCAATTTTTTAGCGTAATTTTAATTTTAAAACAATTATGGAAATATTTACTAGATTTTTGTATTTATACAAAATTGATGAAATATTTAGTTAGAGGTTTACCAAAAATACGATAAATATTAATAAATAGTTTCCAAAATCACTTTGTAATTTTTTATTAACGTCAAATCTCGACGCCAGATTAAGTTATTTAACCTTAAAATGCTTTTAATTGTAATTTTTTATTAAGGCTGCCTGGGAGCCAGGCACAAAAATAATTTCTTAAAAATGATGTTTAGGCCTCATTTTTGGACAGAATGGAAAACGGATCGGTAATTCTGTGGAGAAACCCAGTCCCCACAAAATTACCGATCCGTTTTCCATTCTCTCCAAAAATGAGCCCTAAACATCATTTTTAAGAAATTCACTCTCCCAGGCACGGTTAACGTCAAATCTCGACGCCAGATTAAGTTATTTAACCTTAAAATGCTTTTAATCCTCAATGAGTAAAGGTGATCTTGTTTCAATTTCCGAATTTTGAAAAAAAACTCACCATTTATTTTATGCCTTACATATTTTTTAAATTTTCAAAATTTCCATACGTACCAATAATCGGTCTCTCATTTACAACCCACTCCGTCTGAAGGCATGTTCCACATTCTATAAAAACTGAAATAATAATTTGAACCACCAAAAAAATTGAAAACTGAAAATTTCTACACTTCATAATTCTCTTTAAAAAGTTAAAACTTCTTTTTCACCACAAAACAAATCAACTTAAACGTCCAGAACGAAAACTAAAGTGTAAGAAATCTTCAACTTTAATGAGTCAACATTTCTCTTAATTTTAATCTTAACTAGCAAACGTTCAGTTAACTAAATATCTAAATATTTAATTATAGTGTCCAGTTTAAAAGTCCAGTTAAACTGGATTATTAAAAATCACGTGATCTTTGAGCATGTTTAACTACTGATAAATAATTCACGTTATAAACTTTCTGGAATTGATTACACTTTTAACTCAAGTACATAGAATCGATCAAAAGACACGATTTTTACTTCACCATGTTATTATTTACGACGCCTTTGTTGCTGCAAGCTTGTCCATGAATTTAATATGGAAATATCAGTTTTCATGAAACTGTTCATTTCATGGGAATTCAGTTAAAAAATAATTTCTTCAGATTTTGCTGCTTTCCGTTTTAAAGTAAATTTTAAATTAAATCCTTAACTGTACACCCAAAGCATATAACCTAAACGAAGATTTAATTATTCAACTCTAAAAAAAGCTTTATCTGGGATGAAAACATGACAAAAATTTCCAAACCGCTGTTTTATTTATTTACATATATTACTTAAACCGAAATTCTTATATTACAAATCTTGTAGTAGTTATTTGTAATTAATACAATTTTATGATGTTTTAAAAATTAATTTACTACTTGAAATCGAAAATGATAATTTACACTTATTACAAACATCCCGAGCGATGAAAAATATATAGTAATAATTTGATTAACCCAGACATTAAATTGTATGCAATCTAAATTACGAAAATATCAAAAAAAATTAAGTAGGTTTACAAAAATTTAAAAGTTTTCTGTCAGACAGTAACATCCAAGTTACATAATTAAACCTGAAACCTAGTACAATGTCTTGCTTTTCCTTACTGGCGTTTCATAAAACGAAACTGTTACAAATTATCATGAAAAATTTTCAAAGTATATAGTGCATCCAAAATCGGACGATTTTCTCAATCCCTATTTTACCAAACACCAGTTTAAAAAATCAGAATTTCCTACAATTTTTTTAAAACTGTAAATATACTTATACTCAGGTGGAATTTAAAACGATAAGAATTGAACCACAAAATTTGAAGAAATAACAAACAAATTTAACAAAATAAATAATTATTTTAGAGTTATTTCAAAGAGTTAACATGATTAGTAAAATTGTCAAGTATATTTTTAAATTCTTCAGAATTTTGCAAATGGCACGGACAAGTCTTTTTATTATAAATAAATTTAACTCTTCAGAGCAAAAAAAACATTACAAATTTTGTGACGAAGTAAATTATTTTCCCCATAATGTATACCAATTTAAGAAAAAATATCCGTTAATTCTGGAGAAAATATGTCGCACGTAATATTTACAAAGCAAGTTTATAACCAAGTTTGTAACGCTGTAATATTTTATAAATAAGACGAACAATGTGTTTAAAAATTAGTTTTAACTAAATTTATTCTTTTTGCAGTACAAGTTGTACGCAAATTTAAAAAAATGTTTAAAATGCTTAAAATAAACTTAAGAACGTTGGTCCTTACGTATGTCCAACTAATTGTAAGTTGTAAATCGATGATCATTTTGATTAGTTTTTTTTACGACTTTGCAAAAAAATATGTCTTAATATATAAATATTTATAAAAAAACGTTGGAAAACTCAATATCTAAACTTTGAGGTTTGAAGAACATATAACCGGAATTTTCCATCTTCATATATTTCTAAATAATGTGAAAAGTCGAAACTATTCTGATTCGTCGTTCATATTTTTCTAATTTGATTCTACTGAATTGTAGAACAAAATTTTAAAACACGTTAAACACAATAATTCTGAACTGTTGTTCCGATAAATACAGCTATTTTAAACTTGTCTTAATTCGAACACCGTTATTTTTTTAGCAGGGATAATAAAATTGTCAAGTGTATTTTGGGAGTAGGAATTAATATGAGCTAAAGCCTTGACAAATTTTGCATGAAAGTGCAAAATTTGTCAATTTTACAGCGTGTTTTCTCCTCTTCGGATGGAAATATCTCTGTCAAACATGAGCATTGGTAAACTAGTCTCAATCGATGACAAACTTAATTAGTATGAAATTTGCAAAAAACATGATCTCCCAATAGGCACGTTTAGCAGAGATTTTTGCGCCCGAAGAGGAAAAAACGCGTCTTAAAAAGTTTACACTTTCAAAATTTACTGGATGTTTTCCCCTCTTCGGATGCAAATATCTAGGCTAAACGTAGCCATTGGGAGATCGTGTCTTTTGCAAATTTCATACTAATTAAGTTTGTCATCGATTAAGACTAGTTTCGCTAAAATCCGTGAGCATACGTTGGAGACCTCCATTGTCAGATGATATTAAAGATCCATGTGGATTCAGTAAAATGGACACATTTCTGTCATAATAGGCGAAATAGATGAAATGAAAATAAAGGACAGTAAAATATTTTGAAAATTGTAATTCCCCTTTTTAAACAAAAATTTATTCCCCAATTTACTTTTAAAAAATGTCCACGTTAAACGCCGGTTATCGATAATGGATTTTATTTAATTGGCCAATTACGACTTAGACGACTTAGATTTAGTTGTCCCTTGGTCAAATATTAAATTTTGCTAAATTTTCACTTTCAAACTTGCTTTGGATTTGCCCTTTGCTCTTTGCCCCAAAACATCATGGAAACATGGAAAACTTCCTGATATAAAAAAATATGTAATTTCGTGCTTGAAACAAAATAATCCTTTGATTTCCAGATATTGAGACAATTCACGCAGTCATTGGTAACTTTATAAATCCGTACGCTTTGTAAAACAATTTTATAAACTTTTCACAAAATAACATAAAGATCGAAGCAAGTTAACAAAAATTTGCAAATTTAAATTTCTTCGAAATATTTGTAAAAGCTTCTAAATTTACAGAATGTACGGATTTTACAAAGTTGCCAAGATCTACGTGAATTACCTCAATAATTTATTTCTTTCAATAAATATTTGAAATTTAAATTTGTGTCCAAAATTTCTTCTGACTCAAATTTCGTATTTTTAAATTTTATCCGTAATAGCTTCGCCAACCTGTAAATTATTGCAAAATGAGTATTTTTAGAGTTTAGAGAAGCTAATCAAATCCCAAACTTTTCCAAAGTTACATAAATCTGCAATAACTTTTTCAACCCTTATTTTCTACTTAACAAAAAAAATATTACCAAAATAGGTAAACAAAAATACTTATTTTGTTAGTATTTTTTTAGATTTAGGCTAAAATCTTAAGCTAAAACGACGCGATGGATATTTTTCGGGAAGTTAATTCATAATGATTTTTAAAACAGATAAAGCACGCCTGAGAGGAAATCGGTTATAATTTATTTAAATTTACTTCAAAAAATACAGCGAAGGTTAAATTTACGATAACCTTCGTAAATTTACGTAGTTACGGGCTTACGAAGGTTGACGTGAGTTGCCTCTTTGTGCAATAATTTTTACAAACTTTTCACAAAATAACATAAAGACACCCTTGATCCGAGCAAGATCACAAAAATTTGTAATTTAGTTTTCTTCGAAATATTTGTGAAAGTTTGTAAGTTTACAGAATTTACAAAGTTAGCAGGGAGTGCGTGAATTCTATTAAATTAAAAAATTCTCACATGCCATTAAAACCTCGTTAAAATATTAGTAACTCCTTCACACAAAATTTTATACAGTAAAAAAATCCAATTTTATCTTCTTCCTCTCTTTTGTTAAGTAATTATTACAAAATAATAATAACTAACGAGCCCCTTAACACATCATGATTGTAAAAATACAAAGGAAAATTACACATCCTTCTCATGATTATTATTACCGTGATCATGAATGTGGCAAAAATTCGAGTCAAGATTGGTGTCAAGTTCTCCATTCTTAAAAAACAAGACGCACTCATCTTCTTCTTTTTTTTAGGAGGGGGAAGGTCGCTG